TATCCTCAACTACCCTCAGATTACCAGATGTAAGAATGGAAGATTGTTCAAACTATTAAAGAGAATAAGAAAATAATTATTAGATAAAACATTAGATATAATACAGAGTATCACTAGACAAGATGGTAGGATTTCACAATTGTAATTTCATTGCATATTGTTACCTTCAGATCAGTTGCTCAGATTAAGATGTATTTGTATCAATCTTTTTTTTTTTATTTTTATGAACTCTTTTTTGGGTTTTTCTCCGGTACCAGGAACCGAACTCACAACCTTGCGCTTGCCAGGCAGGCGCTTTTTGCCGCTGAGCTAAATCCCTAGCCCCTTATTTTTATGAACTCTTTAAGGAAAATTAGGAATATCACTAGCTCCTTTCCTGAACTTGGAAATGAGGGGCGTGGATCATCCTTTCTTTATGCTTCCTGTTGATGACAGAAAAATAGTTAAGGATATAGGCTCAAAGTCAGACTTGCTTGATCCAAATTTAGGCTCCAGGCAGCTGTGTGACCTGGGGTATATTATTAAAAACTCTCAGCTTGGTGTGGTGGTGCACTCTGGGAAGCTGAGGCAGGAGGATTGAAAATGTAGGCCCATCTTGAGCAATGTAGCAAGACCCTGTGTCAAAGAAACAAAGGTGGTTTGGGGAGGCTGAGACGGTATCTCGATCCGTGGGTTCAATCCCTGGTACCACATGCATGCATGTGTATGTATATAACCACCTCATATTTCTTTCTAATACAGGGATGTTAGTGTCTATTCTGGCTCTTTTTACTATGTGACTGTAGCTACTAAATTTTTTTTTGTGACCTAGTCTCCTCATTTTCAATATGTGTTTCAGCCATGTCAAAATTTTTTTGTAGTTGTATAATTTGGGGACTTTAGGATTTTCTTGCATTGCAATACAGTGCCTTTTTTCTAATCTTTTTGTTAAAACTACCTGTTTTTAGACAGTCTTGGTGGTGTAACCCTGTAATCCTAGCTACATGAGTGGCTGAGACAGGAAGACCAAGAGTTCAAGGTGATTTAGTGAGACTATGTCTCAAAAC